ATGACAGTTGTGTTCACCAATAGGAGTACTGGGACAATGAGTGATCTGTGCCTCTCCACCAGTACACTGTACATCATCCATCAATATTGGAAGAGTACCACGTCCATAGCGAGCACGAGGATAGACACAACTAGCTCTCCTGTATCCAAGTTGACGACAGACAACATGTGCATCATTTATATCAAATAAATCATCACAGACGGTTCCCCAACGACCTTCAGCATACACTTCCAAGCGACCAACAGCATAGCTGCTAGTAACACTACCACCAACTAGACGAACATTTTCTACAAACATAAAGGACTAACAATGATACTGTTTTTAATTGATATACTTACTCTGGCACATTACACTAGCATCTTCAGAATGATGACAGTTATGAGTACCAATAGTCCTCATAGGACATGCAAAGGGACTGTACTCATTACCAGCACAACGTAGGTCATCCATTACTATTGGACCAGTTCCCTGCCCAAATCGAGCTCTATGGTATGTTGCAACAACATCAGGGAAACCCATATACTTGCAAATTACACGACCATCATTTCTACCAAATGAATCATCACAGACAGTTCCCCACTGTCCATTCCAAAACACTTCAACTCTTCCTTCAAATGATCCTCTGCCTCCAACTAATCTAAGAGCTCTTTCTATTAATTTTAGTGCTCAAAATTGACACTAAATGTTTGTATAATTACCTGGACAGTATCGAATATTAATGTGTTGTACATCATACATTGACAATCTGTTTCTCTGGCCAATAGTGATGAATGAATAAGGTTTTGGTTGAATTGTAGGTTGACCGTTTCTACTGAAAGCAGTTCTACCATAATGCATCAATGAAAGATAATCATATGGTAGAGATTGGCTGTCAGAAGTAGTTCGTCTGACAAAATTTCCTGCATATCCACTTCCTAATATACAGAAAAAAGTCAATTTCAATCTGTGCATGTACATGCATGTCTATACTTATATTTCCAGTTATTATTCTGACGTATGTGTCTCTGTCAGCTCGTGATTGTTCATGAAATCGTCCAAGTGCATGCATTATCTCATGAGCAGGGACAGCAAGATAGCAACCACTAGCTAATGAGACTAGCTGAGGTCTGGCATATCTTCCTGGAGGTTGTTTACCAAGATAGGACCAACAACTACATCAATTTTTTAAAATTAAATATTAAAACTTGTTATATAATATCTTACCCTCCTCGACTAACAAATTGAATATAATCACGGTTATAACTCTGCTTTGGAGTAAATCGTAGGCATGTAAGATCATGAAACATTTTGATTGAACTTGTTAAAGCATTCCTTTCTCTAGTAGCTACAACATCAAAAATAAATTTTATAAAACAATTGAAACTGCTAACCAACTCCACTAATTGTGTATGGGATAGTCCTTGACCACTTGCCATGGTTACGGAGCCATGCTTCTGAATTGACTAACTCATCCCATCCACCACGCTTGAAGAGTGCAGCCTGCTCTGGAGTCATTTTGATGTCTCCCTCTATAACATCTTCACTACTACCATACTCTTCACCTACCATTGTCATGGCATTTAGTTAGATTATACTGTTAACTTACTGAAGTTAGCAGGTGCTTGAGATATTTTATCTGCCACTGCAATATAATTTAAATATATGTTGTAATAGACTGTATATACTTACATTCTTCAAGATCACTTTTAAAATTATCATCTTTATCATCCTCATCATCTGTGTTGTCTTTTTCATCTTTATCCTTTCCACTGTCATCATTATCTTTTATGTCATCTTTGTTGTTGCCTTCTTTGTCTTCATCCTCATCAACATCACCAAGGTCAAGATTGATTTCTTCTTTATCTTCTTCCTTGCCTGTAGCATCCATCAGCTGAGAATCATGCTTATCTACAAATAAGTACATCATATTAAATATAAATGTACATACAATCACTTACTCTCATCTTTTAGTGGTCCTGGACCATCCCAACTTCTTTTAGAAGCTGTAAAAATAAGAAAGTAAAAAGCTCACTGTGCTATGTTCCATAAGCTGATAAATTTTTACCAGCAGGGTTGCAGTGCACTTGAATGATAGCAAGGAGAAGAACAAACAGAGTTAGCCTGTTCATGATGATACCTACAATTGCAAGTAAATTCTAGCTACAGTGACACTCCTTATATACATGCAACTCTCTGCAGGAAGTATACTTGTTAAGTAACTAGGTAGATCTAGTCTGTCCAGTTTATACAGGAAGCATTTCCTACTTTCATAATTTATATGTTTGCATTTAATTAGATGTTATGGCAAATTTGGTTTTCAATCAAAAGTTAGTCATTTTATCACTATAAGCCAAACATCAGCTTAATTTTTGAGATGGCTAGTTATTACTTTTAGTTTGCTATAATTCAAATCTATGAACTAATTGCATGTCTTGAGGGCAAAAGACATACATGTAATTATTTCAATGAAGTGTTTATATCAGCTTTTATTGGGCTGGTGAATGATTGATATTAACAGCACGCACAAAGAGAGATACAATTTAATCACTAGTAACTAAATTTACTTTACTAATTGTTTTTTAAAGTAGCTAGGATTATTGAGTAAAATTTTTAGCATGTCAAAATATAGATCTAATACTTCCTACCAACCATGTGTGCTGTAAGAATTGGTAGTTTTGATGTAGCTCAATTAGTGACATTATGTAGTAGGTTGCATCCATATAGGTGCATACATGTACATGAGATAATTTTGGTACAAGAGGAAAAGAAAATTAATTATTTCTGATTCATTATATATACTTTGTGGGAAAACATTTGTGCATGTGGTCAATGTGTTCACATGAAGTCAGTAGCTTATTACTACACGCTAAACTAATCAAGCCATCCATGTAAATGCAAATTCAATGACAAGAGTTAATATCATAAACAATAATTTGGTTCCATTAAACTTAAATTTAATGACAGTTGCCTAGTTTACAGTTTAACTTGTAGGCAGCACATTGAAAACTGTTAAAATTACAATTTTTATAATTATGTTTTATGTTAACAAGTCCCTAATATGCATACAGTCATATTACAGTGCCAGTAACATACCCATGTTACATAAATCTCAATTGGAAAACATTACTGTTACTTCCTTAAACAGATAAACTCACTCCTGATATCATATTTTCTCCTACATTTGTTAGGATGGCTTGACCAACAAGCTTCAAATGATCACTACCAGAGTGCCTAGACAATATCAAGTAGTGACTTCATTATGTAATTTGGGTTGTTTGTGACTCCAGGAAAAATGTGGCTAAGCAATTACTATCTAGTTTAAATAGTATTGGTTTAAAAGCAGTTATACTGCTGCAAACCACCTATTTCCTGATTATAGTAATCAGGGCACATTCAGGGCTAATGCTTTACCATCTGGTAATTCTGTCACTAGCTTTGAAGTTGCAATTAGATTAGAATATTCTCAACAATTTTGGGAAAAGTTTTTTTGCCAAACTTTGAATGTTATGTGATGCATAAAATGGTCTCTTTTGTACACAAAGTAGAGCTAGATATATCTATAGTTTACTGAAAGTAACTTGCATTAATTATTGCTTAATTTGGTTTTAATTTCAAGTTTTGACTATATCATCAATAGTGTGTACTTAAGTCACTTTCATTCACTTTCTATTCTCATTTAGTGATATCTACTGTATGTCATTGTATAACTGAAATTCCAAGGTTGTTACAACCGGTTCACAAACTCACAAGGTTGTAGCAACCTAGTAACAATCTTGTATAAAAGTGCTAAAGTTGTGACTAAATTGTAAGAAACATAATAACCTTGTGACAAGGTTGTCCAAAGGTTGACAGGAAACTGAGGTTTCATTAAATGTGCCCCATTATGATATGAAGCTATTGCTACAAAAGGACCATTGACCAGCACTTACAGTATTATAGATACATCAAGTATCTAGAAATAAATTGAAACTATAGTGGATTAGGATGACAATATTAGTTATGTGTTGATAGTCTTTCAGATTATAGTTATTATATTAAATTCATTGTAGATTATGACAAGGTTGCTAAAAGTTCACAAGGTGGAAAACATGTCAATTCCAGGATTTTTACAAGGTTGTGGGCCTTGTGGCCACCTTGTGACAACATTCACAACAACCGTTGCCACAACTATTTTTCAACCTCATTTTTCCTATATGGGTGATCACTAAAATATCAAAATCAACTATAATGTGCACATATAAACAAAAGTTTTTTAGTCTAACAACTACCGTATAGCGGGTTTTTTTCGAGGATAATAAATTTCGCGAATGACCTGTATCCGGAAGTTTGTGAAATTAATTTTCGCAAATTTCCACTATTCTGCCATCTTGTGCCATATTAAATTGATTTTCAAGGAATTTAATTTCGCAAATCATAAAAAATCTGCGAAATTTGCGAAATTTGTTATCCTCGAAAAAAACCTGCTATACGGTATGAAATCCAATTTGTTTGTTCTATTAAAGGAAGGGGAATGATCTTATTAAACTACAGTGTTCAATTCAATTATGGCAGCGAACACTAATATCTTCACTGTGATGACAGTTGTGTTCACCAATAGGAGTACTGTGACAATGAGTGATCTGTGCCTCTCCACCAGTACACTGCACATTATCCATCAATGTTGGAAGAGTACCACGTCCATAGCAATGAGCATAAGAATTGAGACAACTAGCTTCCAGTATCCTAATTCACAACAGACACCATATGCATCAATTACATCCAAGTAGATCTAATCAATTATTCATTACCAGCACAATGTAGATCATCCATGACTATTATACCAGTTACCTGCCCAAATTGAGCTCTACAATATGTTGTAGCTACATCAGGAAAATCAATATGCATCAGAAAATGCAATATGAATTTGGAGCCATTTTTTTTATAAAACCATAGACTATAATCTTTGCTTTTTTACGACCTGGGGGTTCGCTCCTAGGTCATTCCTATAATTGATTTCACCCATGTGCGATGTATAATTGTATGTAGAGGTGTCCCGATTATACTGCAATAATTAAAACAATAAACAATTATAAAAAATTTAAAACATCAAATCTAAAACTCAATGCTAATACACATCTGTATTGTTATAAGTATGTCAAGATAATGTCAACAATAACAATAATAATAATAATAACAATTAAGAGTAAGTACAAAATAAAGGTACATGTTTGCATGCTATAATAAAACAATTTATTAATTAAGGAAGAAAGGGAAGACTAACAAAAGAAAGCGAAGAGTAGCTCCAGTGATACATGTTAATGAATAATATATTAAAGAAGAAGGATTGGTGATATTGGTAACTATTAGGGTGTACGTGTGAGTATATGGTGTAATGGTGATAACTGGTAAAGTGGTTACAGTTACATTGGTAATATGGTGGTACAATGGTAATCGATATATTGCATGTCTTTGGTGTACATGGCAATGATAAGATGACAATTGTGACAATAAAACAATTGGAGTGCCAAGGTGGATAATGGTGATAATGTAGTACAAGTTTACAATGGTGATAAGAGGGTGATATGCATTGTATTGAATGATGATTTAAGATAGTGGTATTTTTGTGAGAATAGCAAATTATGTAGTCAGTATATTACACTAAATTGTGTTTAAGTAAATGGTATTTGTCCTTGACCAAGGTTATGCCAAGTGCCATTAAGATAGCAAACACTTATCTCTATACTTAGCTTCCCTCTCTGACATTATGTTTTGATTTTTGCTTTCTGGATTTGATCTAAATTCAGATCTGACAGATTCATCTGCTTCAACTTCATGTCAACGAGGTCTTAATCCAATAACTTGCTTTAAAAACTGAATAAGTTCAGAATTAGAGCTCTTGATTGCAAAATAAACAAGAGTTTGTCCATCTTTAGTCTCAGCATGTGGGTTACAACCATGCTCTGTTAGGAAATATAGAACCAGCTCAAAATTGCCAACTTGGCATGCTGCATGAACTGAATTATAGCCATTGTTATCAGTATCATCAGGATCATAGTGACAATTTTTAACAAGATGCATTGTCATATCATACTTGTTGCAGAGGCAGGAGTAATGAAGAGGAGTACGTCCAAAATTATCTCTTGGAATTGACTTGTAATGATATTTTAGATATTCATATGTTTTAATGTTTCCTTTTTTTGCTATTAAGTGTAAGCAAGTGATGCCATCTTTATCCTTTGCATTAACATCTACTGGTAAACCATCTGGCTTGTTGATATTGTGTAGTCCATCTAATGAATACTTAATCTCACGTAGCCAAACCATGCTAATAGAACTAATGCTCTCACACATTAAGTATTTGATTGTTTCAAATTGATCAGCTGCTACAGCTAAATGAAGTGGTGTACGGTCTTGATGATTGGTTGCATTAGGATTACAATAATTATTATCAATGAGATACTTCAATACATTCAAGTGACCCCTCTCTACTGATATGTGAACTGCTCCAGACCCTTCATCATCAGTAGCTAATACATTACACTTCATACTAATAAGATATTTAATAACTTCTAACTGATTGAAGTACACTGCAGTAAGGAATGGAGTACGACCATGTATACTGTGAGGTAGTTTAAGTGATGATGGTATGCATTCTATAATGTACTGAATCAAGTTTAATCTTCCCTCACTACATGCTAAGTGAATAGGAGCTGTTCCCTCATTATTCACAGCACACAGATCTAACTGATGATTCTCTACCAGATGTTTGAGTATAGGAAGAGAGTCACTGTACTTACAGGTGATGTGAAGAACTGTTGATCCATTAGAAGTCTTAGCTGCTACATTACACTGAGGGAGACTAGTGAGATAAAGTACAACAGGAACATGACCTCCTTCACATGCTTTATGAAGAACTGTACTACCAGTATTAGTAGTAGTGGCATTAACATCACACTGATACTTGTTGATCAGTTCCTGTAGACAATGTAGCTTACCTCCATAAGCAGCTGCATGAGCTAGTGTGTACTTGATATTATTAGTGTGATTAGTAATACCCACACTATACTCCTGACTGTACCATTTGAGTATATGAGTATGACCAGTCTGTGCTGCTGCATATAATGCTGTTAAACCACATTTATCAGCAGCTAAAGGCTTAAGCTTATAGTGTTGAATTAGTAATTGTACTAGATCAAGATTACCTGAGAAACAGGCCAATGTGA